AAATGTCTGATCAATTCAGATAAGAGGTCTTAATCATTTAGATTCTGTATAATACTTAACCATTCAGAGGCAAATCTCTTAACCATTCAGACATCTGAACCTTTAAGAGGCTGAAACAAACAGTCTGAAGCATTAAGTGCTGAACCATTCAGACATCTGAACCATTAAGAGGCTGAAACAAACAGCCTCTTAGAAACGTTTTATGCTTTGCAAGTGGATCTTGTGCATGGTGATGCAAGTGGGCTAAATAAAGTAAATCACTATAATAAACAAAAATTGGGCCCGAAATTTTGCTCAACCCGACAATGAATCAAGTAAATCACTGTAATGATTTGCGTATATGGAATAAAGTAGTTTTTGATATAATGTACTCCGTATTTATTTCTTATGCTGTTGGACCAGAAGAACGTTGACAAAAGGAGATTTATCATCGCCCAAAAAAACGAGTCATGGTTCCAAAATTATTTGGCAATGCAATGCTATCACAAGTTTTATTAAATCTTTCTTACTTATATTGGCATTATTCATTATCTGTAAAAGTTTGTAAAAAAAGAGAGATGAATCAAAACTAGCTTTATTTATGTTTTGGATCAAAACCCAAGGATGGAAATAATTTTCTTCTAATGTACTCATATTGTTGATGGGTAACTTATCCCACTATTAAGTTCGATTAGCAAGGTTTCCCACACCAAATTAAAGTCCACTAAAAAAGCCACTAGGTGTGTCCTCTACTTTGTTCCAAACCACGCACTACAAGCATTAGTAACCCCCGGCAGCCACTATTAAATAAAGCCACACTTTTGGGCAAACCAATTAATCAATCCATTGACTAACAATCACTCTTTTAAATCTTTTTTTATAGTATTAGTGATTCTATTACTCCCTTCCTTTCAAAAAAAAACCTATGTTGTTGTTTACATAATTTGATTAAAGTTAATTCTAATTTAATTTATTTGAAAATTAATCAGAAATTAAAGAATAAAATTTATATACTTCTTCCATTTCAAAATAGATTACAATTTTTTTCTCTCCTCTTGATAACTTTCTTATTTGTGTGTTTTCATCAAAAAATTGCTAAAAATGATATAATCTTTTCACCTCTTGTTTTTAAAACTTTTAACGTAATTTTTTAATATGTAATTTTAATTTCTTATAGATACACCAATTTGTAAATAAAATGATTTCAAAAAACGAGAGGGTTTGCCTTGTAACTCCCATTTGTAATCAAATTTAGGACGGAAGTAATATTTAAAAGCTACATCAAAATGCATTGACTTCCATATAGTTAACACCTCAAATTGCACCCATCGTTATTTTTAGTTTTTTTTCACATTTTCAGAGGCACTTATTAGTGTTTTTTTTATTCAATTATTTTTTCTTTCAATCGAATTTGATAATATTTATATGAATCATTCTTTCAATCAAACGATTAATATTAATAACATAATTTATTTTTCTTAATTCTTGTGCTACTGCTAAATGTATAGGAATAGTTTATTTTGTGGTGAATAAATAAGTGCGAATATTTGTCCAAAAAAAAAACAAGTGCGAATATCAAAATGGTGCTTTATAGAAACCATTTGCCAATATTGATTAGGCTGATAAGTCGGACGTAATAAAGTGTTAAAGGTAAAGACAAGTTTTTTAATTTTATTAGTCACTCCTGAAATTAGTATTCTTTTTACTTATTTTGTCCCTAAATAATCTTCTAATTTTGTTTTGTCATATTTGACCGAAATTATTTTTAATTTTATTGATATAATATTTACGTATAATTAAAAAATAAAATTCAAAAATTATTTCAAAATTTCTATAAAACAGGTGGGGGGATTTTATCAAATACAATAAGTAAAAAATAAAAGTAGAATATAATTTGACAATGTGAATAGTAAATTTAGAGATTATATAGAGAAGGTGAGACGAGAAAGTATAAATTTTCATGATTTCATCTATCATTACATTAAATAAGAGACTTCATGATGTATTGAACAACTATTTTCAACCTTTGATCTATAATTAAATAAAGGGGATTTCTTCGGTGCCCAAAGAAATAAGAGGGCATCCATGCCCCTCCACTCAAGTATTGCCACGTGTATTAAATCTCATGATAATTAATAAAGTGTTCCAGCTCATTTTAACTCTAAGAAATTACAATTGACCTCTCCACTTTGTTTGCCTTAAACTCACCCCCAACCCTTCAGTTTTCTTCAGTTTCCAAATTTCCGTTTATCATTGACGTTACTTCAAATGATCTTTTTTTCCTCGACCGCCGGCCACAATCTTATACAAATCTGATCAATTCCTCTTACCCAATCTAATCAATTTCCTCTTAGCATCAAAACGAGGTTATCAAACCTATCAAATCCTTTGTAGGAATTTCTGTTCTATGAGCCGGCCATCCACTTTAATCCTCACTGTGGAGAGGCATGTAACAATTGGGAGTGGACTGCTAGGTTTATAATTCACAATAGTGAAAAGAAAAAAAACTTGACAGAGAGTGATTATGGCCAAATCCATTGTTACAATTCACAATAGTGAAAAGAAAAATTGTTATGTCTTAAAATTACTCGCACCATTTTTTTTGGTAAACATGGTTATGTCAAATGATATAATTGCCAAATCCAAAAATGCCCAAATCTCAAAGGGAAGAATGACTTCGTTTTAGAAGCTCAAGATTAGATTTTCATAGGAAAAAAAATAACAAAACTATTGCCAAACCTCAAAGAAGTAAAAAATAGCTACTTCTTAGAAGCTCGAACAGTCAAATCTTTGTCATTGGATAAGAGGAAATTGATTAGATTTGTATACGATTGAGGCCGGCGGTCAAGGCGGCAGCTTCTTCTCTAATGTGAGATGCACAGTGACGGAAGGCCAGGGGTGCAGGCGTGCAGTGCCGCGGATATGTGTGGTTACGGTTTGGGAAGAAGACATCGGAAAAAATACGGACTAATTAAATTAGTTGACGTGATACACGGAAACGGCAAAAGAAAACATAAGGGGGTTTGGGGGTGAGTTTAACCCAAGCAAAGTGGGGAGGTCAATTGTAATTTCTAGATTTAAAATGAGCTGGAACACTTTATTAATTCTTATGAGATTTAATACACATGGCAATACTTGAGTGGAGGGGCATGGATACCCTCTTATTTCTTTGGGCACCGAAGAAATCCCCTTAAATAAAATATATATTGCATATTTTAATTAAATGAAACACTATTTTAAAAAAATTATAAAATGAATTTAATAAAACTATTTGTGTATCAATATCTAATAGTCTCTCCGTCTTTAAAAGATTGTCATAGTTTGACTTTTTTAGTCGAATTGTATCACCTTTGATCACGAATTAAATATAATTTAAAATCATTAAAAATTATAAAAATTTTATAGTTCAAAACTATATTTTAAAATTAACTCAAATTTTCAAAATTTACATTATAACTAATTATAATTATTTCCATAACTCACGGTCAAAAGGTGTCACAATTTGACCAAAAAAGTCAAACCGTGGCAATTTTTTAGGGACAAAAGAAGTACTCTGTATCATTTATTTTTAATTTGTGATCAAAATCTTCTAATTTTGATTTTAAAAAATCAAAAAAATAGACAAATACTTATGCGGTCGTTAATACATTTGTCACCGCCAGTTTAAAAGCTTAAAATCCGTGCACGGAAAATAAAATGTGTCAACCGTCAGAACACAGAACACCGTTGCTTTTGCGCCGGAAAGACTTTTTATATGGGTGGTCCGCGTGTATCCCACTTTCTCATCCATGACCATGTTGTATGGGCCCTAGAGCGGCCCATTGGATCATGGCATCAAGAGCATAGTCCAAATCGCAATTTGGCAATCATAGGGGTGTTTGTCACTAATTTGTTCCCATACTTTGGTAATTTTCTTATTTCATGCTTTTGCATATATGTCAATTGAAAACTAAAGTGTAATATAAATAAACCTTATTTAGTATCAATGTTAGAGATTAACTTATTTAAAAAGATTATTTACGGTAATTTTTAACGCTAGTGTTTTCAAACAATGCTTAAGTGAGTCCAAATGGCAATTTGGCAATCATAGCGGCAACACTCTCAATGAAAGCACTTTGATACATTAAACACATAGAATAGGAAAAAATTTCGAACGTTTTAAAGATCTTAATGGAAAACTTCGAGTTTTTTTTTTCAGATTTCAAGAGAAAAGAGAAATCTTGGTTTTTATTATTGATGATGGCCATAGTATAGCGTGATACATCTCTATTTATAGGCGATAGAAAGAAACCCTAATCTTGATGAGACTATAAACCAATACAATAAATAATAATAATAATAATAATAATAATAATAATAATAATAATATAGTAATAATATTAATTAAATCCACACTAATAAAAAATTAATTGAATACCCCCATCAACTATGCGCATCATTAACACTTGTGCGGAATTAAATATTGAAAATTATACTTTGTACCATGTTAATTTTTAAATGACATAAAAAAGTTTACAAAACAAAAAATGATCTTATCAGTTTTCAGAGCATTGTAAACTGTAAATATAAAGAGATGTACATGCAGTGCCTTCAAGAGCTCAAGTATTTGAGTCGACAATAGAATTTGAAACTAGCAAAACTACATCCCTAAAGATCTTTCAGAACAGACCAAACAATTATATTAAATAAGGTAAATTAGGTTTTAACTACATATTAGTGGCAAAAGAATGGAACCTATTTCTCATACTTTTAGAGACCCCTTGCTGGCTTGCTTAACATTGTTGCATTCCAATGCAACTTAATTAAACTTGGTGTTACTCTCTTGACAACTATTCTCTTGGCATGGCTAACTACGCAACGACCATTGGTAATAGAATATTTAATTAACAAAAATGTTGGTGAGCGTTGTGCAGTTGGCAAATGCAGATAGTGCCAAGGGGTAGACATGAGTTCGATTCCTGACAACTATGTTAGGAGACAACTATACTAAGTATAAGGTCTCTGCAAGTACTAGATACAGACTTCATTCCCTACCATCTATCTGTGATTAAAGACCAATTCACGTCTTCTCAATGACGCCGACCGAATCTAAGAGAGTCCTTGGGATAGTGTTCATCCATTTTTAAAAAAATTAACAAAGATATTTATGGGCTCTTGAAGGAAATCTAGTCATCACATATACCCCACATGATTGTGAAATTGTCATAAGCCCAATAAATTTTAAAAAATCCTACCTTTAATTAGTGGAGTACCTTTTGTACGTTGAATTGTATCTCTTGAGGTTAGTGGGGTTGCTTATAATGTTTAAGTTAATTTGGATCGTTTCACTAATCAATTCTTTTAAAAAATGAATCAAGCGTTCCACATATATTCTACATGAGCGCCACAACTTTGTTAAAAATGAAACTACTCTTTAAACATCTTGAGTTTAAGTTGAGTTTGTTGCTTAATTACGAGATAGCTAATCTCAAACCTTTTGTCATGCCTAAGTATTAATTTCAAATGTAGATAAGACTGTCCGTGAGAGTTCAAACTTTAAATTAGAAAAGAGACTACGTTTTTGGCACAACTCTTTAAAGATAATCTTTCCGCATTTTGTAATACCCCGAGAAGGATTGAAAATGAACGAATATTTTTTATGTGATTCATGATTCGTATTCAAAATCAATGATCCAAATTCGAAAAATGAATACGAATACAATGATCAATTCGTATTCAAAATCAATGATCAATAAGAATATAAATATGTATTGGAGTTCGAAAGAAAACGAATACAAATACAAATGTATGTGTATTAAAATTCATCCCTATTGATACATGGTGTGTACTGTGTAAAAATGAAGAGGAAAATGTACAACATTTCTTTTGCAGCTGCAGTTATGCTTAGGCAACCTTTCGGGGGATCCAAGCATGGTGCAATTACAGATTTGAGGGCAAGACTATAGAGGAAGTCATTGAGAAATTGAAGGCTATTACTGTTGGAGTTCCCACATCGGAAAATAAAGATGAGTATCACTTGCATATATTGAAGGGTGAAGCCCTACCTATCAGCTTAAGCTTTTGGGTTAGAATTGTGGATCCCAACTTTATATGCAAGTGGTTAATTTTACCTAACACTCTATCCGTTGTTCTTGGCCCGCCGGAATCTTAACATGTTATCGGAGCAGGTTCGGTCCGGGTTTGATTGTTCTTGGTTGTTTAGATGTGGGTTTAGCAAAAATGAGCTACCCGTATGTGGTTTGGGCTGAGTTGGTTAAAAAGAGATTGAGATGCCACCGCCAGTTGTGTGGGCTAGTTATAAGAGATTGAGATGCTAGACCCGTTTGTCCAAGTGCTAACTGGGCCAGGCTAGTTACCACTTGCGGGGGAGTGTTGGAGTTCCCACATCGGAAAATAAAGACGAGTATCACTTGCATATATTGAAGGGTGAAGCCCTACCTATCAGCTTAAGCTTTTGGGTTAGAATTGTGGATCCCGACTTTATATGCAAGTGATACTCATCTTTATTTTCCGATGTGGGAACTCCAACAATTACTCCTAGTAAAAGATGGAAGATTACGGCTATATTTGCAGCATGTGTATATGCGATTTGGCGTGCTAGGAACCATTTATTGCATAACAATGAATATATAACTGAGGAAGCATCAGTTCATTGGATTACGTATCAGATCACAACCTTTTTGAACTCTAGGGGAGCTAACCTGGAGTAGCTAGAGTATATAATTAGTTTTGGTATTGTATAAGGGGATGGGCCTTCCTCAGTATATTGGTCTTGTACTCTAAACTTCTTTTTGGTGTTAATATTATTTGCATTCGGTTCAAAAAAAAAGTATGTGTATTCGATTCGATGTGTTGACGAATATATTCAAATTTAAATATAGAAATCTATACCAAATATATTTGCTTCATAATAAACAGAGTACTCCGTACTCTGTAGAGGCAAGATTCGCCTACACACACCCTCTTCAGACCCTACTCTTGTGGGATCGAACTAGATTGTTGTTGTTGTAGGCATGTCATGTTTAGTACAAAGTATATGATTAACCTACGTCAGTTTTGAAGTGAACTAACATTTTATATCAATGTAAACTTTTAAAATATCGATACATTTTTGCAGGATACAACTTGAGATCACTCTTTTGGTATACCTTAGCATGATTGATAAAGATAAGTTTTGGAGAAGGACCATGCTAGGGTGCCACCACATGGATGCTACCATGAGTGCACCCATGTGGTGGCACCCTAGCATTTTCCTTTGCGGAAAAAGAGTATAGCGGCTTCAAAGGACCGTTGTCTTCCTCCTACGGTCCTACATCTAAGTTTTTTGTTCAGGACCGCAGCTCTTCCTCTCAAAGACACCCCACACAGTCACACAGTCTCTCTCTCTCTCTCTCTCTCTCTCTCTCTCTGCACTTCTGCAATGCTAAATGTAAATTGACATTTCACAGAGAGAGCCAGCAAGAGTAGGGCTGGAGTGGGAATTAAATGGCATATATGTGCACCGATAGTGGTAACCTAATGGCGATTGCCCAGCAAGTCATCAACCAGAAACAGCAGCAAGAACAACAACAAAAGCAGCAACAACAGCAGCAGCAGCAGATTCTCTGCCTGAATCCATGGCCCTCCGCTCATCCCGCCGCTAATCCCACTTTGGGGTATGGCCTCGCCGGCGCACCTTCCTTGACCGACCCTTTCCTCCCGGTCCCCGGCGCCGCAGAAGAGGACCCTGGGTTTCAGTTTCTGAACCTGGAACACTCATCTGCGGGTTTCCCCCTCGCGGATTTCTTTGCCGGCGATTTCGACTCCGATGAGTGGATGGATAGTTTAGTGGGCGGTGGGGATTCGACGGAGAGCTCCAATCTTCGATCTGGTTGCGACGCGTGGCAGGCTGCTTCCGATTTCGCTCTGTACGGCTCGGATCCCTTTGTTTGCCCTAGTCGATTCAGTGTCCCTTCCCCTGCGCCGCCGTCGGATCTCAACCGGGTCATCCTTTCCGATTCCCAGAAGAGCGCTAGTAATGCTAACCCTACTCTTCCCACCTCGGATTGGGTCCCTTCTCCGTCCTCGCCTCCGGCTATTACGTCCGGTGATGACACCAAGCCCGCAAGTCCGGTTGGCCGGGAGAGCGATGCCGCTGCAGCAGCGGTGCACACCTCCTCTGCCTCGCCGGACATTCTGTCTTCTAAGCCGATACTCAAAGCCCTGGTTGAGTGTGCCAGACTGGCTGATTCGGAGCCGGAAAATGCTAAGAAATCTCTTGGTCGACTCAGGGAGTCCGTTTCCGAAGAAGGGGACCCGACGGAGCGAGTAGCTTACTATTTCTCCGAGGCCCTTTTCAGCCGGATTTCCAAGAAACCGGCGAAGGTTCCGCTGGCCTTAGATTCGTGTTTGGAGGACTTCGCCTTGTCTTACAAGGCTTTTTACGACGCCTGTCCGTACTCCAAGTTCGCTCATTTGACTGCAAATCAAGCAATTCTGGAAGCCACCGAGAAAGCTCCTAGGATTCACATCGTTGATTTTGGCATTGTTCAGGGCATTCAATGGGCTGCTCTTTTACAGGCTCTGGCTACCAGACCCGCCGGAAAACCCGAAAGCGTGCGGATAACGGGCATCCCTTCTCCTCTTCTGGGCAAGTCTCCAACGGCATCGCTTGCGGCAACCGGAAACCGTCTGCGCGAGTTTGCCAAGATTCTGGATCTGAATTTGGAGTTCGAACCCGTGGAGACGCCTATCCAGGAGCTAAACGGGTCGAGTTTACGGGTCGACCCGGACTACATTCTAGCGATTAATTTCATGCTTCAGCTGTACAATCTGCTAGACGAGACGACCGCCATTGTCGAGACCGCGCTCAAGCTCGCGAAATCACTGAATCCGAGCGTGGTAACTTTGGGCGAATACGAGCTGTGCCTGAACCGGGTCGGGTTCCTGGACCGTTTCATGAACGCACTGAATTACTACTCATTAGTCTTCGAGTCCCTGGATCCGAACATGCCCAGAGACTCGCCGGAGAGGCTGCAGGTGGAGAGACTCTTGCTCGGCCGGAGAATCTCAGTGATGGTGGGTCCGGTGGAATCGGAGGCCCAATTACAGTGCAATGAAGATAAAGAACAGTGGATGGTTCTTATGGAGAGTGCAGGATTTGAGCCATTACCAGTGAGCCATTATGCAAAGAGTCAAGCAAAGATTCTTCTCTGGAACTATAGTTACAGTTCATCATATGGACTCATTGATTCTCCACCTGGATTCCTCTCCTTAGCATGGAATGATGAACCTCTCCTCACTGTTTCTTCATGGCAATGAAAAAGACTCAATCTTTTTGCCCAAAAAAAAGAAAGAATGAAAGAAAGAAGCTGTAGATTTCTTGCTCTCTGTGGTGTCAAAAGTTTCCATGAATGTCTGAACTTTCTGGTCCTTTTCTGTTTTTGTTTTAATGAGAAAGATTAGCATAGCTTGATATTTTAGAGATCTCTAATCGTAGTTTAGACAAAACAACCCAAGAATCCAAGATGTTGTTGTCAATTAACTCTGCAACTCTGTTCATATCTTTGTTACCTTTTTGCCCAGGTTTTGTTTTGTCTTCTGGTATTTGCTTAAGAGAAGTAATCTTTTGCCCTCTTTTTCATTGTTTTGGATTTGCATTGTTTTTGTTCTGATTGATTAATTAGTCTAATAGTGATAGATTGATTCTTTGGTTTTGTTTTTTTGTTTTATACTCAGATGGAAACCACAAGAGTCTACTGTACTGTACTATGTTATCCATGTTTAATTGTCTCTTGGGTGGTCATGTGATTAACATGGGTAATACTAGAAGTATACCAAAGGGTACTCTAATTGTACACCAGACAAACATAAATATAATATTTTTGTCCGAACATACATAAAATATACTCCGTATGTATTTGTCTTGGAGTACAAATAAAGTACATTTTCCGGTGTAATTCTAGCATTTTTCGATTAACATTGAGGTTTGTTGATTGAAAATCAAAATGGAAGGAGTAATAATTAGAGCTGAGCTACATTTTTTTGTTTCATGAAACCAAATTTGACTGTTTTGACCAAAACACCCACTGGGGCATCAATCTAGTAGCTTAAACTTGATGGTGTCAATTTTGAGTGTAGGTCAGCTCTGATAATAATATGGGTTTCTTGTTTTGTTTTGTGATCTGTTGTGGAATTTCCCATTCCCTTTTTGGGGGGGGATCCACCTCTAGGACTGATGACGCAAGTTGAAAATGGGAAATGCATTACTGTAAAATGGAGTGAGGTCACTTTCAAAGAAGGTGCAAATCGAGGTGGACACCTTTGGGTTGGATAAAAGAGGGAACTGTGGGTTTGATGTGTTGAAATTAGAAATTTTGCTATTTTAGCAGTAATCTGTCATCTTGTGCTGGTCTTTGGTTTGATGAGCCACTACATGCTCAGTGACTCTCTGCTGGACCTATGATTTGTGAACTGCTCAGTCTGAATTCTTAGAGCATTTATAGTGGGAGGGTCAGATCCCGCCGTGTCGGAAATCGCTGCAGATGTCCAACCTGTTCGGATACTGCGGCGCACGTCGGGCACCGAGCGCATGGCGGTCCTGTGGCTCAGGCGAGGACGACGGGCGGCAGTCCATTAAAACGAGCCGCCGCACTGGATCTAAAATTTCTTTTTTATTTTTTAAAATGTCAACTCCATAAATTCATCACTTCTCCACTTTTAATTTATCTCTCATTTAAACATACCTCACTCTCCTCAATTTATCTTCGTCTTTCTAATCTCCCTCTAAAAAAGACTCGTTTTCCAACGAATGATGAGCTCGTGGATATGCTAATTGCGGTGTACCATGATGTGTTGCCTCTAATCCTGGCTGAGATCCGAAATGAAATCGCTCGACAGACTGTTGCGACTACTCTTCCTATTCCACATACATGGTTGTACATTCACCGGGACCGTGACCAGGCTACTCACCGTATGTTTGAAGATTACTTTTCCAACGACCTATGTTTTTCTAATGATCGGTTTCATCAATGCTTCTGAATGTGTCATGTTCATTAGCATTGCTGACGCACTTGCAATTCGTGATGGGTATTTCCAACCGCAGTCAAATGGTACTGGAGGGAAGAGCCTATCTACTCTACAGAAGTGCACAATTGTGATTGGGTAGCTTGCGTACAACACTTGCACTAACATATTCAACTAGTACCTCCATATCGATACCTCAACAGGGTGAGAATGGTTGCAGCATTTTTCTCGAGGTGTCATTGAAGCTTCCAAGGACACATTCTTGCGAAACCCGACTATTTAAGATGTTCAGATGATATTCAATATGTATGAGCACGTGCACGGGCTTCCAGGTATGATAGGCAGCCTGGATTGTATGCAATGGAAGTAGAAAAATCGCCCCGTGGCATGGGGGTGCATTCACAAGCGATTACAAGGGCTCAAACTTGATGATCGTGCCCGAGGCCATTGCCAACCTTCTTCAATAGACCGGGCATGCCTACTTTAAGGTCGCCAGGTCGAACAACGATCTCAACGAGTTGAATGAGACTCCTTTATTCAATGATGTCTGTGTTGGATGTGTGCCAAACGTGTAATTCATTTCCAATAATCGCCAATATAACATGAATATTATTTGGCAGATGGGACCTATTCATTGTGGTAGTGTTTGTGAAAACTATCACCTCTGTCACAAATCTAGAGAGGGCACTATACGTGCCGAACAAGAATCGACATGGGAAACATATGGAGCGTGCGTTCAGAGTTCTCCAATCGCGGCAGGCGATAGTGAAAGGCTCTGCATGCCCGTAGTGCCGGTTGTTCATTTTGGACATTGCATTATACTGCATAGCATGATAGTTGAAGACGAGGGAGCCATCGTCACTCATTTTGTAGATGATGGGGATGCTTCCACTTCTAAGACATCTGGCGTCCGAGGTCCAGTGACTCAAGGGTCACCTCTTGATTTACAAGAATTTGCAAATTGGCGTGCGCGTATGCAACCCTCTAGGACATTTGATCGAATATATTTGGAGGCGCAATAATAGTTCATTTTAGCATTATTTTTTGTTGTATTTTTTGAAAAATTTTAATTTTATTTTTTGATGTACTTTTTTAAACAATGAGTGTCTTTGTTAGCATTTTTATTTTAATTATATGTATTTTGTTTTATTTATTTAAATTTTGAATTAAAGATAATGAATAATATAAAAGAAACGGAGAGGCTGCGAGAGAGCAAAAGCATTGCAAGTGTTTTGGACGGGGCTGAAAAAGAGAGGAATTATGACGTGTAGGCAAAAAGACAGGACGAGATAGCCCTCCTTTGCAAATAGTGGAAGGAAACAATAGAACGATCAAGTTTCAACTTAGTACTTAGTATATAAACTAGAGTCTTTATGGTTTTTCCTTTGTTATATTTTGATAATTAATTTAAAGACTTAACTTGTTAACCCTAAATAAACCAAACTAAATTTAAAGACTTAACTTTGTTATGTTTTTCCTTTGTTTGTGGTTTAGTCTTATATACAATTTTAGAAATTTTTATCGTTATCTAAATAAACCAAACTAAAAATGAATTCAGATGGAGCATCTATGCAATCAAATTAGGTTTTTTTTACGTATTTTTATTAATTATTTGATAAAATATACTCCGTAATAATCATCTTAAATATTTTTTAAATAAATAATTTTGGTTTTTTTTAGTTTGTACAGAGTATCCAATGTTTGAAGAGAAAGTTTTAAAGTCAAAAATAAAATCTGCTAGGTTCTATAGCCACTGAAAGAGAACAGTCACGAAGTACATTGTCCCAACGCATCTTCATTCACGTCAAATACAAGTTGCAAGTTTAGTTGATTTTAAAATTTAAAATTGGAGCTTGTTATTGACGTGGATTGAGGATGGGTTAGAGGGAGACCAAGGAGGGCCGGAGGGGGGGTGTTACTGGGAGGTTGGGAGTTAAAAATTATCAATTTTATGAACGGAACAACATAAATATTCTAATTGGGACTATGACCTTTGTTGACACTTTCTTTGAATGGTCATAGAACGTGGTCGAATAAAAAGTTCACAAAACTCATAACATTGATGTTTGTTAATTTTTCTTCTCTGACTTGAGTGATAGGAAGTTCACTCCCTAAATTTTATGGAGAAGTTTACCTAAGTTCGAGCCTCAATGAAAGTATAAACATTAACTTTTTGTGCGTTATTAAATTGATAATAGTATGAATAAATATTATATTAGAATAGAGTCAATACTTTTAAAAAAGTAAAAATTTAAATTCACATAAATTAAACAAACCAATAAATAAAATCACTTATAACAAATTTATGAATTTTGTAACTTTTTTTTGTGACTTTACTATTTCTTTCAAACCTTTTTATAAAAGAGAAAGGGTCCCTATTACTGTTGAGTGAGAGGTAGAAATGTTCTTTCACCTTAGACGTAACCTGAAAACGGCCAGAAAATTACTCACAGGTGACGCGAGTTATGTTGAAATAACTCTCAGGTCCCTCTATTTTTTAAGAAGACAACAGAGATCCTTACATTTTGTTGTAATGACTGGAAGGGGACATTTCATCCAATATTTCATCTATAAACGTTAATAAATGTATTTTTTTCCTATTCTTTTCTAAATGTTTTAAGGTAATAAATCTTAGGTCGCTCATTTTTTTATTTCTTTGTTTTTCTTTCATTTTGTTACTATTTTTTAAAGTGTTATTTTAGAATTTCTTCTATAAAATCGTATAAAAATTCAAAATTGTTTGTATTATATTAAAACAAATGAAATAAAAAAATTTAAAATAAGAAAAAACAAGGTAATGGCAAAATAGGAAAAAACGGTATTGGAAAAATAGGAAAAAAATACATTTATTAACACTTACGGATGATGTATTGGATGAAATGTCCCCTCCCAGTCATTACAACAAAATATAAAGACATCGGTTGTCTTTTTGAAAATAGAGGAAGCTGAAAGTTATTTGTTGGTATAATTTTGTGGAAAACGGCTGTGGGTTTCTCTTAGGAAATCGGAACCCTTCTGTCTCCGGAGTTGACGGCGACAGGCTTCCGGTGGAGCTTCATACTAACACAGAGGAGTAGCAGGCAGTGGCTCTTTCCGGTATGATTTCCTTTTCTTTTTTCGACTATTTGAGCTCTTGTCTGCAACAAATTTCTGATTTTTCCCCATATCGTTACCGGAGAAAATAGAAGGTAATGTGTTCCTTTATATATTAATTTTCTAGTCCAGTATTAGAACCTCTGCTATCCTGTCTGCAAAAATGGTGTTTCTACGATCCATCAACGAGAATTGAAAATGTGTGGCCTATTTTACTTGCCCACTAGGTGTTCGATGAAATGCCTGAACTAAACATAACGTTTCTAAGGTCCATTTGGTATTTAATTAATCTATTTTTCCTTTTTAGATTAATGGCGTTCCAATTATCAGTGAATGAAATCTTGTGCTTTCGGTTCAAAAACAAAAAACCGGATTATCATCGAAGTAATAATTACAGTATGATTTTTCTGCATTAGGAATGGAATCAAAATTCTTTCGGTTTCTTAAGATCGTCGGGGTTGGTTTCAAAGCAAGAGCTGAAGCTGAGGGGCGAATGTTATACCTGAAGCTTGGTTACAGCCATGAGGTTGAGCTGGCGGTTCCTCCGGCTGTTCGCGTGTTTTGTTTCAAACCAAACATAATCTGCTGCACCGGGATCGACAAGCAAAGGACACATCAATTTGCTGCAGCCGTCAGGAGCTGTAAACCCCCAGAAGTCTACAAAGGGAAAGGGATAATGTACATTGATGAAGTGATTAAAAAGAAGGCTGGAAAGAAATCAAAATGAGCTCTCTCAGGTTTTTTGTTTTATATTTCTTCTTGATAAAACTCACTCCTCTACTGAGAAGACTGATGTAGAGCTTGTGTTCTGGATTCATTGAAAACAAATCTTCATTTTCTTCTTGGTATAAATGATTGTGACACTGTTTTTCTTTTGAAGATATTATTATGTGTCATTTTCTGTTTGGCAACAAGTTTAGTGTTTGGCTTTTACATTTTGAAAAGATTATGTAATGACAGTGTTTAGTATTTTCAAAGTTAATCTGCACTATTATAAAATAATTCAAAACACTAAGGTTAATTCAATACATTGTTTTTGTTATAAAGCTGACATGGTACTGGGGATTAAGCACTGTTAGGACTCTTTTGTGCTAACACTAACATTTCTTTAGTTGGATGAGTGTATTGAATCCTAATTGTAACATCCCAATGACCCTTCTGTTACAACACTAATGACTCGTGCAAAAATGATGAATCTCATCTTCTAGAGACTAGAGTCAGTCCCCAGTATTTAAAGGAGATAAAGTGCCCTGTAGTCTCATATTGATTGATAGAAAGTGAGATTTGTCCCTGATCTGTGCAATCCGGAGTCAATTGGAATTGCCTCTTTAGGAGTCGAACTCGAGCAGTACCTCTTTGCCCCCATTTTTAATATCACACTTTTAGATCAACTCCACACTCCCTTCCTCCAAATCCCCCCAAAAAAAAGTTTTTTTGTTGGAGGTGATCCAGAAAAAGATCATAAAAATTCTAGTGGTTTCACAATGTCATGAATCTTTATACTATGACATGCATGATTTATGAATCTTTATACTATGACACGCATGATTTGTTACATTAACATTGTCATTATACTAGTATTCTAACATGGTATGACATAACTCATGTGTTCTAACACGGTTAAGTACATTTATTTACTGTAGTATTTTTTTTACAAATTGGTATATATATTTAAAAACTACTTCCTCTGTCTCATTTTAAATTGTTTGTTTGTCTTTTTTCTCCGTCCCAAAATAAGTTGTCTGTTACTTGTTATCGTAAACTTTTAAGAGTAAAATATCTAAACTATCCCTAAAATAAGTCACTCTTCTCCACCTTATCTTTTCATTCATCGTCACCTCTCCTAAAAAGTAATGACAATTTCAGAAAATCAACTCAATTTTTTCTCTTTCTTAAATATGCCCAAAAGTCAAAACAAATTATTTAAAACGGGACGGGGGGAGTACATACAAAATTCTACGAAATACGGAGTAAGTGATTAAAAAATTTATTCTATGAAATGATTAATATGTAGTATAAACATTGAAGCAAATGTAAAAATTATTTAGTCAAAATAATAGCTCTATCATCTATTTTGGGATGGATATGAAATAACAAATGGGTTTCGTTACATGGCCTCAATCAATCATTATCCTTTGCTGGTTGTTTTTTCAAAACAAAAACAGAGATGGTGAGTTCATGTAAAAAAAGAAAAGAAAAGAAAAGGTCCCACCGAGAATTGAACTCGGGTTACTGGATTCAGAGTCCAATGTCCTAACCGCTAGACCATGGGACCTGGTTGTTTGTATTAAGGAATGCGTTGTAGATATCAATTCGCTTTTCGAGATTATATTACCATTCTACAGTTCTACTAGTACGTATTTGAAAATTTTGGCACTATTTAATACTCCGTATTTAACAGTCGAACTTCTTTTTTTAGTCGAACTTCATTATCTTTTTAAAAATGTTTTAATGTACTTCCTATGTAGTATGACTTTTTAAAATGCTACAATTAAACCACTTTTTATATTTTTTCAAAGATAAAGCGGAGTATAAAAAAGACATTTCATTATATCAATTTAAAATTAGAAATGGTCACGTCTCACATTGAAAATAGTAAACAATTGTATAAAAACAAAATTACGAGACATAATAGTTCATATTGAATTATTTGGGCTGCGTGTGTGATATAGTCCGTTGAATTTGACAAATATTTCTCCTTAGTCACTCATCCAATCAATAATGTTAAACACAATTTGAACCATTAAATAGCGCTAAAGGCAATTTTGAGCTAAAACATGAAAGAACGACGTTTTGAGGGCAATAGATAAGTATTAGGAGGATTCTTGAGCCAATATAGGGAAGAAGGATAAAATTGCTTCATTTTCAGTAATCCCTATAAAACAAATAAGATCACTGTAATTTAATTTGAAATAGATAAAAATAAAAAGGAGAACACAAAGATTATTTGAATAAAGGAAAATAAATTTACAATTTATCACTACAATTGTTTTGTTTTCTTTCTACAACAAAAATGCTCCAAAACCCCAAACGCTTATATCAAAATCTCACAAATACAAAAAATTAGGACAAAGGGTACCCACATCAACCAGCACACAAAAATTATGTAAAGTACTTCCTAATAGGACAAAACGGTTGCTTGCAAATGCCAAGAGAGTTTTTTTTTGGGGGGGGGGGGCAAAAGTCATCTCTTGCGGCCGCCGGTGACAGCCTTCATGTTCTGCGAATCCCTAAAGCAAACAAAGTGAACGATTGTCTTTCCGTTTGGGTACACTGCAAAGACACTCGTCCCAATCTTCTTGTTGCAAAGAGAGCACATGCTGTCGCCCGTGATCCTCACCACTGCTTTCCTCTGGTTATACACTTCATCTTTTACCTGCTCATAGTTTAGAGAAAACGTTTTCGTACGTTTCAAGGACAAAAGAGATCTGCTAATTAGAATGTTTTCATACGTTTAACAACTAAAATGTCTTTCTGTTTGAAAAATAAGAATCATTTATAACTTCCACTGAAGTATGTCAATTAAAATTAGCGGTCGAAGTTTTATACATTTGACTAGAAAAGTAAAAGTAGGAATTTCCGAACAGGATGAAGGTAGGATTTGTTTGGGAACAAAATTTGTGATCAACATTAGCGTTTTGGATAAATGTTTTGATGGTGCGGATTATTTGAAAACGTTGACGCTAAAAGACACCATTCATTGGATACATTTTCAAAACGTTAAAGCTGATACCAAATGGAGTCGTATTATACTTGTAAACGAAAACTTATTTGAAAAGCTTCTAAAAAAGCTTATAATACATGTTCCAGCTTATCAGTAAACCCTTATTTGAAAAGCTCTTCTTAAAAAGGGGCTGGGAGCTAACTTCTGGCGTTACATGCATTGCTGCAAAGACAGCAACTAATGAAGTGGAAAAGAAAGAGCTGGGACAAAAGCATCACACTTGTAGTGCAAAAAGCAAAGATATATTAATGCTAATTCAAATATATATGAAACAAATACCTGTAGGTTTTCACTCTCTCTCAAACTTCTGATCACTGAAAAGTTTCGGTATGATTCGCTTGATTTCCTCAGAAGAGGACCAAGAAAAGGGAGCAGATTCTGGAACATAGTCAGAAGAAATTCAACATAGGACACAATGTCAAGACACATTAGGACTAGCAGGTAAACCAAGACTCCAGTTTTCCTGTGCTATCTTTCTCGGGTTATGAATATAACAATTTGGGCAGGACCACCATATGATAGAATGAGAATGAAATGCCTAAACATTTGATTTTTCTGTTGAAAGAGGGGATGACTTGAGAGCTTCATTTTCTTATACTGCATTCTCCATAACAAAGAGCCCTTTTATAAAGTTTTCCAAATGCTCTGCAGAGATGTTGTACTAATGAAATTTGATCATTCAAAAGGCTTATAAAAATGCTCTCCTTTTCCTAATGAACAAGCCGGGGGTTAGTTATTTTTCTGTTTTCGTATTTTAAAGGATGTCTTTGGATGCCAAGAAATGGTCAAGAAAGAAAAATGCCAAGGAAAGATATTATCTTGAGTTTGGTTTTACTTTTATTAAATACTCCCTCCCTTCAACTCCTTCAAGAAAGAATGTGACATGTCTCCCACTTCACTTTAAAAGTGATAAGTGGCTCACAACAATTCTCTCTTTTCGACAAATTCCAACCATACACTATTTACTTTTCATCACTTTTTTTGAACTACGTAAAATCAAACCATGTCACTCTTTTTGGGACGGAGGGAGTATGATGTAATATCTTAGTATGTTTAGATTTCTAAGTCATCATATAATACTCCAAACTTAATGCTAAGTAAAATGAGTTATATCAAAAAAATTATTGCCTTTGAAGTTCAAACAGGCGTTTTATTTTACCGCACTTCCAAATTTCTCTTATATTATCCTTCCTATTTTCTTCCCCTGGCATTTTATGAGTTCCAAATGAACCCTAAGTGAGTGGTTTTTTATTAACCTTGTTAAGCCAGCACCTATAGTTCTAGAATTGGAAAAAAATCATATGACAGCTTAAGTTAGAATTGGCAATTATACATAAGGGTCCGTTTGGGAAGGTGGAAAATGACTTCTGGAAGTCATTTACCTATTTATTGTTGTTTGGCAACGTTGGAAAATGCGAGTCAAATGGAAAACAAAGTGCTAGTCAAAAGGAAAATGAACCTAATTTGCCAGAATCTGACTTCCCGATTTTTTTATCGGAAGTCATTTTCCAATTTGTTGGCTCTCTTCTTTGATCTTCTTTTCTCATCTTCCTCCTTTTTCCTTCTTCGCTCCCATCTCCTTCCTTCCCTCTTAATTGCTGCCCTCCCTCATCTCTTTCTTCTTCCCCCCACCCCATCTCCTACCCTCTCAATCGCTCCCTCCCTCATCTCTTTCTTCTTCTTTGCCCTCTCCTTCCTCTCATCTCATTCGCAGTCCTCCCCCATCTATTTCATTGATCGGGCCATGGACAATGCATGTAGACTAGTTTCTGAAAAGTTTGAGCACCAAAAAAGTGATATTGTTCAGATCTGATTGAGAGTGGAGGTGGTTGAATTGATTACCAGCGGTGGTTGAATGGAATGAGTATGATTTCAGTTTCACATTTTAGAATTCTCATTTTCCAGAAATTAACCAAACACAAATTGATAACTTTCATAGTTCAAGCCAAACACTAGAAAAAGAAAATGACTTCGGGAAAATAACTCATTTTCCAGAAGTTATTTTCCACAGGTTATTTTCCTGGTTTCCAAATGGACCCTAACTACAGCCTCTATGTTATTCACATTTAAAAAGATCTATTAAATATTAATATAAAAAATTATGTTGAGTACCTCTAACTTTGTCTCCCGTGGTAAGAGTTTTAAGGCTTGAGCTCCATTGATACGTTCCCACCTCCGTCCCAACAGATCTAGGACCTGATCAAGCATGATAGCAGAAACCCCTTCCTCACCAGCATCATCCACATCGCCGTCACTCCTACTACTATCCGTCCCACTCTGACTGATTCGCATGTCCTCGGCGCCTTCAATCTCTGCAATTTTCCTAGAGCGGTTTCCCTTGAGAGGCCTAGTAGTGGCTCCCGGACCAAGTTTAAGCGTCCCTGAGCTCTTGGATGATACCAGATTAGATATTCTGTTTTCATAATTCTTTGTTGTCTTCTGAGGGTTCAGATAGATTTGTAGTAGCATGAGGTATATATTGCTGTGAGATTTTACTTTTTCCTCATATACTCGATCACAATAGGAAAGGGCAAGTTCAGGAACATGAAGCTGAAACATTAAAATAAAGATCCAGACATAGCCAGAGTATTTTGGAACATAAAGACGCTTATAAACAAAAAGAAGAATTACAACAAGCATACATGTTCATATGGAGGGGGAGACAATTACCTTGTGGGCATAAATGGATAGGGCAAGCTCATGTTGATTCATCTTTCCCAACAGGATGGCATGTTCCTCGTACAATGCATCTAGAGGGAGTCGCTTCAGTAAGATCTCGGGATTATACCCGGAGACACTCTCCAGAGCAGACTGTAATTTTTTTCTTGTCGGAGAAAATATTTTTTCATCCCAGTTCTTCTGAGAATTAAGTTCTGCATACCAATCCAGCACTTCCGAAAGATAGATTTGCACCTGCATTCGGACAGCTTTTAGATAGTTATAACAATAACAATAATAATAATAATAATAGCAATGTATGCCAGACTAAAAATCCAAAACATCCAAGTCAAGCAAGTTTTATAACGAAATTACCGTCTCCATTCAGAAGGTTATACACTTATACGTCAACAGAATGCATTAAACTAAGCCTTGACCATGGCATTCAGTGGCGATCCAAATTTTTATGAAAGATGAGACATTTGTAACAGGCAGTGATTAATGTTCTTAAAATCTTTTCAACAGGAAATTGTGAAAAAACAACATGCATAATTACTTACTAAGTTGTTACCCCAGTAAAATGATGGATTAATTCATACCAAATTTGAAGAGGGGGCTTATGTAAAAAAGTGTGTGCAAGAACTCAACCTTAACTTCTTTCTAACTCATCAGGGTAATGATATAATGCAGAGCTGCAGAGTGCAGACCCCACATCATCTTTTCCGCTTGTCCTTCAATCACTTCATACATGATCAGACATGGAAATAGGGAGAATCCAAGTTTCTACCTTCACTTGAGTTCTAGAACAGTGATAGAGGCATAGAGCAGTTTGGTTCTTGGAAAATATAAAAAGAAAATGAACTTGTTAATAGTTTAAATAGTTCTACATTTTTAGATTTATTAAACTGTATATAATAAAACACATATGAGTACATAAAATGAGTTTGAACTTGACTTTCATCCCCCCCCCCCAAGTAATTTCTAGGGTCCAAATGAACCAGGACACGATATGCCTTTACCATTTCATTCTGAAGATTTCCAGAAATGCTATTTTCATTCATCGCAAGCATCAGCTCCAGATATGTAGCCTGCAAGTAAGGAGCATGCTGCTTCAAATAAGAGTTGACCATGTCTGCTGGAATGTTCCCAGACAAGAATAGCTCAATAGTTTGCATTGGGCAGCTTTCAAGAACAACCATTGAGAACTCCAAAACGAGCATGGGGTCTGTCTCACATAGAGGCTACCAAATAAAAGAATAATCAGATCAAACTATTAGAAAACCAGATACCCAAGAAGATAAACATAACCCCCTTCCTCAGCAGAGTAACATTAATTCACTAAAATATAGCGCCACCAACTTCATAATTAAAGAATCTGGCACCTTCAGAAAACCTAAAAGTGCTTCCATTTTCAAAATTGAAAAAAAAAACTCAAGAAAACATATAAAATTTCACTTCCCAATGAGATGCATACTTTTAAATATTCAATGATCAAATCAGGCTTGAATTTCTGCGACATCTCAGCTGGTGCTTGGTCTGACATAGACTCTTCCACCAATTGATGAAGAAGTTTTAGTGCTTCACGATGCATTCCATTGCTTTTGTAAAGTTCCAACAAACATATATACTGGCCCCTTTTTTGCATGAATTCAGCACAGATCTTTACATCACAATAGTTACTGCCTCTAAGCAAATCCAAAGCCGCTGAAGATTGTCCAGTTAAAGTAAATGCTTGCAGAAATGCAGTGTCAAGTATGGCTGCCAAATCCCGAGCAACTGAGCTGAAAGGAGTATTTATACGACCCTAAGATATGCAAGTAACCATATCAGAATCTCAGAATTCAAAATATAAAACAACTTGCAGACTGGATTGGCTATGATGTTACTGGGGACATAGTGAATGAAATAGAGATGTGCATAAAAGGCATCAAAAGGAGGCAGGTCAGGCAGAAGATCATTGCAGTTTATGCTGCAACAGGCTATTCTGTTTGGAGAACAAGGAACAAGAAGCGTCATGATAAACAAGTGAAGAGTATTAAGGAATATGTTTTCTGGATAAAAGTTCTAGTAAACACCTATATTCAAGGGATGATTAGGAGACTGATTTTGGTTAGTTTATCACTGGGAGGAAGTCTTGTAGTGTTTTTGTTTCACTTGTTATGTGTAAAAACTCTTTTGACATGGAGGTGAACAAATTGGTGTGCTTTTGTTCCAAAAAAGAACGATAAAATACACTACAAATCTTGGCAAGCACATTAGAGGTGTTGAAATTGATAAATAGAAGCACCTACTCTAGATTTTTAAAAAGATTCATATGATAGATGACTTCCTAGAAGGGGGGGGGAGGGGGTAATTGTACTATTTAGAGCCTAAAGTGGGAAAAGCAGACACGTTTTGGAAAGTGTTAGCAAATATGTCCCCCAATGAATAAAATTTGAATCTACCTTGTTTGTTTTCTTGGACCGACCTGTCCCATAGGGAACATAACTATCTCCTACAGCATCTGAAACAACCTCTTCAGTTCCCTCAGCAGTAGCTTTTTCAATGATACTATATCTCTTTTTCTGCAGAAACTTAATAAGAGCCATCAAAGTATTGTGGCTCATTTTTTTGGATTCGATATCCGTCTCATCAGACTCCGAGATATTAGTAGATTCCATATCATCCGATATGCCAGAGGAACCTCTTGAAAGATCTGGATAATCCCCAGCCATGTCCACAAATTTCTCGGGTTCAGGTACTACTGCAGATTTTGGAACTAAGATGGATGGGTATAGTGAAAGCACATAAGTAATTTCTACTTGAGATGCCAAAAAATGTTCCATAGCCTCCTCATAGTTCCCATTTTCAAACAAATAGTGTGCATATCTGTAACAAGTATTGCTTACCATTACTGATAAATAAAATCAAAGCGTACCAAATAATTCTGCAAAATAGTTGGAAAATTAATATCTTCCTTGAGTTCACATTATGTGGTTGAGATGCAGACTTTTATCAGTTTTGGTATCTTCTGAAGTTTTTCGTGAGGTGCCAACAAGCCTATATCGATATTTAAAAATGAATGATAGAAAATTAGAATTAAGGCAAAGTGCAAATTGCCTTATATGAATTGACTGTTCCTTCGCGGCTCTGAGGCTTGAATCTTCTGGTGGAAGCAATTTACACAGAGACAAGGCCTCCTCGAAGTTTCCAGATGCAGTTAGTTGCACAATCTGCACGTGAAGAGAACATTACTGGATTTTCAGAACCGGATTGGTATCTGTTACAGTAAAAAAGCCACAGCTCTGATATCACAATCACTTCCATGAACAGTTAACTAGAAGTTTTATGTCATATAAGATGTTTTTCTATCATCAAAGTTTCTAGCATTGTTGGTTTAACAACTAACAAGGGCTAATTCTAGCTAAGGTAGAATAAGTATTCATACAAGTGAAGTCATATGCACAAGTCTCATGGATAGCTTTTTCTAGACCACCTAAGCAAACTCTTCGAGGAAACATTGGCCTACAAAGCTTTGACCTTGTGATGCATTTTGCATAGTATTCTCCGAATTTAGAAAACAGGAAAGTAGCATTATTCCCAGTATAAAAAATTCAAGACTAAACACAATCGGTTCCACTTGAAATAGAGTTTCTTGCTTCAATACTCGAACACCACAAGTTCCGGTATTGCACTACTCGTGGTTTCAAAAGGAGCACGAGGCTTACAACTCTGAGCCTTAAATAATGCATGGGGGAAATGCACAGCTGGTCTATCTGGATGTCGCAGAGGGGTTCTGAATTTTGTTTAGGAAAGACATGCATATTTTATCCTTTTATTTCATACTATTGACATACTGTTTTCTCCTTTTCTGAACAATATTTTAAGTACTTTTGTTTCAAGAATTCAAGTTTGTATGCCATTGAATTATTATGAGGTATTATGAGTTAACTATTTTCCCTTATTTTAACATTTTATTTCTATAAGTTTTAAGTTTATGCCTTAACTGGCCTCGGGGATTATGCACTGTGATGCTGAAGCTGATCACCTTGGGGTATAATTTGGCCTTTCAAGACCTCGGAATAACAAATTAAATGTTCATGCAATATGCATTACTCCCTCTGCGGTACAATAAATACACAATCTTTCTTGGTTCGTCTCAAAATAAAACCCATTTCCTTTTGTGGCAAGGAATATATGGCTAACATTATCTCGCTATCTTCCAAATAAGTTTCAGCCACACTTTTTCATAAACTCCATGTCTGGTCAAATTGGACTTTTAAATTGGGACAAAGGGAGTATTATTTACATCGTTGTAGCATAAAGAGACAATTTTTGAACTAGTGCCAAATGTAAAAAATAATAGATCAAGAACTACCTGTGCACCTAAAGGAACAGGAAAGAGTCCAAATACAGAGTTCTCAAGAGCAACAATTACAGCGTTATTGCTCTGAAGAATACGGCGGACATTGCGGAGGACAACTGTCTGTATCAATGGGTAAGGAGAACGAAGAGAGCGTATCTGTGATCCACATAGATATCAAACTGCTTAATCCATGCATTCCACTTACTAAAGGCACTTAAAATAATAAAAACATATGCTTGCTAGGGTATTTGTTCAGCTACCTCAACGTGTCTTGGTTGGAGACCTATTGCATATGGATTTTGAATGACAACAACAGAAGGAGCTTCTGACCAACAAATCCTACCTTCCTGAAGAAGCTTTCCATTTTGGTCAACGAATACTCCAATATTGTCCTACAGAAATAAAACAGTAGAATACCCATAGTCACCCTATTATGCAATAGAGTACTATACAATCAAAGCATCTTATGCAAGACAAGTAATGGATATAATTGCATTGAATACAATAAACAACCCACCACCCAAGAGAGATCGTTTTAGCCGGTTGGAGACTCTGTGGACCACATGATCATGGATGTGCAAAGAACTAATACAGAAACACATTTTTTGTTTCAGGCAGGGCATAAAATAAAGTAATGATAGCAAGAATTACCTTCCCCAAAAGAAGTTCCCCAGATGGAAGGGACACTACAAGGGGTGGGGCAGTCCTCCCAGAAGGAAACACTTCAGACAATGATCCATTGGTGGTATTCAATATGGTGTATTCTCTTCTAATTCCTAAACAAATGTTCTCTCCGCACCATGCCATTGACTTAACTGCATCTGGTACTCCAAAGTCTTTCACCTCCACGAAACCCCTTCCTCCTAAACAAGTGATGGGGTGGGGGGGTAAGAAACTATACTTGCAGTTTACATAGAGAGTAGAATGCAGTTCAATTTCATGAAAGGATCAATTTCTTTTACCGTCGTGTCTGAAAATACAAACTCTCTTTTGTCTCGCGAAGCAGAGAAACCCTCTTTTATCGTCCCAGGAGTACGCATTAGCTCCTTTTGCCTTGGTAATCACGGCCAGAGTCTCCAAATTGGGCAACCGATGGAACGAGATGGATTCAGAGAGCGACAGAAGTAGCTCCCGCGACCCGATTACCTCCATGGCCAGCATCGCCTTCTTGGAGAATCCGTTGACTGTCCGCTCCAGGATGTACCGCTCTTTGCGAAGCTCCGAGGAGTGCTGGTGGAATTCCGCCGGCGTCGAGCGGTCGGAGACGGCGGACTCTGGCACATAGACCCGGAGCGATCCATCCGAGCAGACGACGAGTAGCTTTGAGCCGTGTGATTCGACGGCGTCGATCTTCAGGGGGCAATCATTGAGGAGGGTGAAGGAATCGTATGCGCTATGCACCATTGTTGTCGTCCCCTCTATCCTCTCTATTGATGCTTCCTTCTTCAGACTAAACTTTGCCGAATTAGCAAAGGTGCCCCCCACGAAACGACGCCGTAAAACTAATGAATCAATTTTTTACTCCTTTAGACTTTAATTAATTTTATAATTAATCGTTTATAAGGAGGGTTATCATAGTCTTTTATCATTGTTTTATAGGTATGTTTCCACAAATATTTAATAGTAAGAAATTAAATATCAAAAATTCTATATTATAAAGGATTAATTATAAAATTTATTTTATATTTTTGTGATATATAGTTTTAAAAAAGTGATTAAAATATAATGAAATAAATATTAAACATTCAACTTAAATTAGGACGAAAGGTGTAAGAGATAAGGAATTGTTGGGACCATTCCTCTCCATGAATGACACATTAAAACGAGTAAAATCTGATGGAACTTGAACACAACTTAATCGACCCGTAAATGTAAGCTTCTTTCAAAATCATATTTTTTTTCAAATGTAAAATCACGTAGTATAATATTACTCCCGCCTCATTATTGTTTCTTATTACTCCTTGTCATGGTTACAAATATCTTTTCAAATAAATTTTAAGGAAAAATTGATATAAATACTCCCAGAAATTTGAAATTTTACAATAATACTCCCAAATTCAATAAAAGACTCTGGTGCTCCCAATTAAAATATAAGTTTACATTACTACTCCCACTATCTCTAATCAGTTTTTCTTATGCTTACATGTAAGTAATTATGCTTAGTTGACATCTTAGTTATTGTTTTTTGTTTTAATAAGAGGAAAAAATTATATAAATACTCATAGAAATTCAAATTTTATTTACTTTTCTTATATAATTTAATTATGTTTTTGATAAAATAATATAATTATATCATTACTAGTTTTATAGATCTTGTAATGTAGTTTTTAGATATATAATTTTATTTTTTGATTTCACACCACTTTTATTAAACATCATAACACGTAAAAGGAAGATATTTTTTAGAGTACTGGAATCTTTATTTGGTTTTGAAAGATTATTGTAAAATTTTGAATTTCAGAGAGTATTTATACAATTTTTTTCTCTTATTAAAACAAAAAGAACAACTAAGATGTCAACTAAGCATAATTACTTACATGTAAGTATAAGAAAAGCTGATTAGGAATAGTGGGAGTAGCAATGTAAACTTATAGTTTAATTGGGAGCACCAGAGTCTTTTATTAAATTTGGGAGTATTATTGTAAAATTTCAAATTTCTGGGAGTATTTATATCAATTTTTCCAAATTTTAATAGTACTCTCTTTATCTTATCTCTTTATTTTAAAAGAATACTATGTATTTTATTTCTGTTATTCGAATGCCCCAAAATAAGTGACTCATTCCATTTAAGGAAAGGAATGAGTATCATTTTACATTATTTTTCTCTCCTCTATATAAACATTCAACATAAAATTTTATTTTTCTTAATTTCGTGAAAGTCAAGTCAGGAGATTTTTAAGAGTGAAAGGAGTATTATACCGTTATCTCAAAAAATTGCTCAAGGGTGCCCCTATTTTGAAAAAATAATTGTCGGATACATCACATTTTAAAAATATACTACGTGTACTTCAAAATATACATTAACTTATAGATTATGCATATTTTGTCTCACTCTCACCATTAACTTTGAGAAACATGGGTTTGAAATTCCAAAAATAATTGTAGTTCTTATACTTGCACACGATGGACCTAGTTTAATTGAAGCATATGAATGCAAATGTAGGGCTAGTCTTGAAGACAATCATACAAATTCAAGTCGATTCAGGTCTAGATTCATCTCTACATTTAATTCATCTTTGCTTTGATTGAGCTTTTGTGCGTGAAACTCGTATTGATAGGAAAGAGATTGAACTTTTACTTTATTTAATATGAAGGTTGCAAAAGTCAAAGAAAACGCAGATCTAGAGCGTCCGAACAAGATAGATTTTATTCTCTTCATCCTGAATGGTTCAAAACAAAAAAAGTTTTTGAAAACTTTGGTATGAAACGCCAATCGATGCACACCTGATTACATTTTTTAGTTTTTTATTGTTATGGTAGTCACTCTTTCACCTTTTCTAGAAGAATTTCTGAGTATGGGTGAATTGTTGGATAGGCCCACCTATAAATATGGAAAAGAGACAAAGTTAGTGACATCATGGACTGGAAAAAATTTTGGAAGAAGATTCTGAACGTGTGGTGGAAAAGTGGGTTCACTTTCTTGTTTTCTTTGACATTATAGTGTTGATTCAGTTGATTCAAGTTGCTTAATTTAGTCGTTGTTGAATATGGTACTTATATATGCTTGTGTTAGAGATGACTTGACTCATCAATTCACGATCGCATCAAGAAGATCATTCCCATACTTTTAAAGAATATTAATGCAAATTAAAAAGAGATAAAGCTCCTAAAAAAGCAAGACAACTGTTGCACCATTTAATTATCTCTTGTTTTGTTGTAGCGCCTGTAATCATTTATGTGGTTAATGTTTTGTTTATCTAAGCCGATGAATGATGTGAAAGTAGTGGTTTGATGTTGAAGTTTGTATGATGTACTTTGAATGTTGTTTTGCGGGTTGTATGATTACTTTGGATAAATATGATTCACTCTAGAGTAGTTAAACTTTGAAAGTAGTTATATGATATTGAAGTTTGTATCTACTTTGGATGTACTTTGAAAGTACTATCTTACAATCATTTTTTTGCTGAAGCTTATATGATGTACTTTGGATGTTGTGATGGATGTGAAAGAACTTTATTTCAATTCATGAAGTGAAAGTATTTGTTTGTATGTTCTTCATTGATGGTGTTCAAATATGTAAAACCATGCCAAATGCGTGATGGACAACAAAAGTATAATGGAAGCAAAACATAAAATGCATGAAACTACAAAATAAAATATAGTAGCAAACTACAAAATACAAAATAATTACAAAGAACAAAAAAAGTAGCAAACAAAAAACAACATCAATTAGGGGTACGATGTGTTTGGATATGTGTGCGGCTATGAGGCCTTTTGGATGAAAAGAGGATGCATTCTGAAAGGACGGGTATACTATCTTCAAACAGCTAACTGGATCCTGTTAGAAGACCTTTAGAATTTGGAGTCTTACCATTTGTCATTAGGAGTTGCAAGAAAATTGTCAGCCCATTCCTCAAGTTCACTCATACCAGCCTCATAACAAGTTTGGGCAATGGAATCAATACACCAATCATGGTTTGTAAAATATTAAGAGTAATGCTAGAGTCACAAACAAAAGTTCACAAAATTCACAAACTTACCTTTTTAACACTTTCATAAAAATAAGATGTACTCAAATAATAAAAGATATTTTAATTTAAAATCCACAAAAACCAAGTTTGTAAACTATATGTTTGTGACTCTAGCATTTTCCAAATATTAAGCTCTTGTATGTAGTTCAACTATGTATAAGAGGATGTAAGTAAAAGGGGTATTAGCCCAATGGTTAATCATCTTAACCCAATCTGAATCAGAATTTAATGGCTCTCTCTATATTTCTTTAAAAGGTGCATGAAACGGAAAATTAATGAGCCCAGGAAGACTCACATATTGTTCTTTAGCTTTGACAATGACATCCCGAAGCAAACCCTTTGTAAAATACATAACCAAAATATTGTTTATGACAATGCATCTATATTTCACATATATTAAAAAACTAATTGGAGCCCGAAGCATAAAAATCAAAATTTCTAAAATTTCAAAGCCAATAATTGCAATATGATGTTGAATTGCTACCATAACTTTATTTCATAAAGAAATGATGAATCCAAATGAATACGGAGTATATTAAAAATCCTAGATTCAATCTATGTAAAATCGAACACAATTACGTAGATTAAAAACCCTATATTCAATCTTTGCAAAACAAAATACGTGTACCATGAAGACCAAAGACAGAAGCAGCGAGTCAAAGCAAAAAATCATCATCAAAAATATTAGATGCCGGAAAGGGAAACAAAGTGTAAAGTTTTTGAGATTGGATGAGAAAGAACAATGTCTTTATTCGGGGAAAATGGAGGAATTACAAACATATAATTGATTTTGACGGATAGTGAAACGGAATGTTCCTCATGAGTAAGTTAATGTATATTTTGAAGTACTCCGTAGTACGTTTTAAAAATGTGATGTACTCGGAAATTATTTTCTCAAATCAAGGGGGATACCATGAGCAACTTTTTGTCGTTATCTTAATTATATTTCCAAAATTGTTCATATTCAATTTTTTATTCTTAATAATATATTGTTGTACAATCTAAAAATTAATTAAATGTTAAAATAAAATATTTTAATGTTTTTAATATAAATATTTTAATTTATTGTATTTTTTAATGCAATACACAAATGTCTGTATGATTTATGTATTCTATGTTCATAACACGTTAGGTTAACTCGAATATGATGACACTAGATCATAAACAAATAATTTTCACTCTGAAGTCAAACAAACCTAAAATAACTAAATGCGGACTTAAACTTTTCATGTACTCTCTCCGTCCTAAAATTAACTTCTCAGTTTGACTTTTGCAGTCAAACCTTTTAAACTTTGGCTGTATATTACGAAAAAATATATTAAATTTTCATATAATTTCTTTTTCAATAGATTCATTTTGCAACATAGTTTTGAAATATATTATTTTTATAATATATATTCATATAAAAATGAAGATATTAATGGTCAAAGTATCACATTGGAGACCGTGAAAAGTCAAATGGTAAGTTAATTTTAGGACGGAGGAAGTATAATAGATGATATTTTCACCAAGAAAATATAGTGGAGGAAAATGTCACATATACAAATATTAACAGTGAAAATTACTTGGGATACTCACTAAAAGGTGGAACGTTCATTCCGAGCACCCCACCCCTTCCAGTCAATAAGATTGTGAGAAGGTAAAATCATGATATAATCTTAATCTGGTCTTTAGAGAGGTCGTCCCGTATCTGGTACATACAAGCAAGAATCTATTTTTATTTTTTTTACGTATTACTTATTCTTATTGAAACTAGATCAGATTAGAAATATCTTTAAATATAACTACATTTAAATCAAATCTGACAAGATCAGAATTTATTCTAATCAGATCAGAACGAGTCAAATCAAGTAAAAAGAATATGGTCTCAATCCTTAGACTCTGGGCTTAGATCTTTCTTTCGAACAAACTAAAACTACCAATGAAGGCAGAAAAAAATCTACTCTCCACCAATTAGATTACAATTTTTCCCCTCCTCTCGATAAATTTTGTTTGTTTACGTGATTTCATTAAGTATTCTATAAAATAAAATATTTTATTCACCTCTTGTTTTGTAGAATTTTTGACGTACTTTTTTAATATGTAATTTTTATTTCTTATCGATATACTAATTTGTAAATAAAATAATTTCACGAAATAAGATATTTCTTCTCGTAAATTCCAATTTGTAATCAAATTAGGGAGAGAGGAAGTAAGAAATAGAGTAGGGGTAGCTACCAATAGAAATTAAAGAATACGGAGTGTATATATAGCTAGGGTAGCTGTGTCTAGCTATGAATTGATCGCCGTCAGATATTCCATTCCATTCTTCTATGGTCACGTTGAATACTCCTCCATGGGAGACTGCGNAGAAAAATCAAAGGGTTATCAAGTTTGTATTCTAAATTAGTGTATCACACGTACACTCAGATGAAAATTAGTGTATCACGCATACACTCAGATGAAAATTAGTGTATCACTAATAAAAAGAAAGTATTTTGTTGGAAATAGAAAAAGAAATATTTGTACTAAATAGCACTAAAACTTAAGTCATTTTTCTAAATAGCACTTAAATTGTTTTATTCTCTAAATATCACTTAATAATGTCTAGTGATGATGAAAATTTACTTGAATAATGACTAATGCATAATGACTAAAAGTGCTACATTGGAAAAAAAATACATGTAGTGTTATTTAGAAGAAAGTCATTATGTTTTAGTACTATTTAAGTAAATTCTCCAAAAGAAAAAATTAAAAAGGAAATATTTTTTATAACGGAGGAAGTATCATATATATATAATGGTGTATATGTATATGTTTGTATGTATGTATATCATGGTGTAAATGTAGAAAAATAATAATGGAGAATTTAAAAGGTCTCTGGTTATATGTTGTTTTACATATTTAGTCCATACATATCAAATATTACTAATTTCCCCCCCAATTATTATATTGATTTCTACGAATGGTCCTTTGCTAACATTTCCGTTAAAAACGTATATAAAGTTGTAAATTCACACTCCTTTCTATCCTCAATTAAGCTTTCTCCCTCCCCTCGCACTCATTTTCCAAAGCCATCGCTGAGTTTGAAGCTTTGAATTCAAAACTGAAATCATCACTCTTTTCTCAACTTTTTGTCTAACTGGTGGAATCCAAATTCGAAATCAATAACCTTCATGGATGAATTTTAATGTTTTTTTTGCAATTTATTAAGACTAACCGATAAAATATTCCATAGAGCTTATTATTATTGGTTTTAGGTTCCACCAGGAAGAATAATAATTGAGAGAGGAATGATTATTTCAGTTTTGGCCGGGTTTAGAGCTTCAAACCCAGCGACGAGTATGGGAAAGAGAGGAGGGAGGAAACTTAATTGAGTAGAGAGAAAGTATAAATATATAATTTTATCCATGTTTTTAAGAAAAACGTTAACAAAGGACCATTTGTGAAAAATGATATAATAATTGGGGACTAAAATAGTAATATTTGATATATAGGGACTAAATATGTAAAACGGCCTATAACTGGGGACCTTTTATGGAATTTACTTTTTTTTTAATTTCGTAATATGAGAGAAACCAAAAAAATTCTTAATTTGATAATTTTTTTTTAAATTTCGAAATATGAAAAAAAATCATTTCATTAATTTTGCATGTACTGCATGCGAAATCATTTAAAAAAGGGATATGCTAGGGGTACACCAAAGATGTACTCCAAATGTACACCCCCTTCTTTACCATTCATTTTATTTTATTTTTATTTTTTACTTTTTTTGAATTTTTCTTACCTTTTTTGTGTGGTGATAGAGGGGGTGGGGGATGTTCGGGGCACACTTTTGGTGTACCCCTATCATTTTTCTTTAAAAAAAACTGGGAAAAAGTTTGAGTGATGAAAGTTTGATGTTGATGTTTTTGCATGTAGTACATGTGAAAATTTTGAAACAAAAAAAAAAGTAATTGCATGTTATACATGCGAAAGTTGGAGTTTGGAATTTGTTTCTTAAAAATTTCCCACTGAGGGAATTGCTCCTAATTACACCGTATTTGTATGTTTCCGTGATACATTTAACGTGCAAGTTAGAATACAAATTTGATGTACCCTAACAAACCCCCTCTAGGATTTTAGAAAACAATGGAATGTCCATTCTAAAATATGGTGGAACGTCCATCCCGAGCGCCTACATACCCCGGCCCAATAAGATTGCGAGAGAGGTAAATCATGATATAATCTCAATCTGGTGTTTAGAGAGGTCGTCTCATAGCCGAATGCGTACACGAAAAATAATAGAATTCTCACACTATCGTTTCAGGGATTCGACTAAATGACAAACAAGCTTGACCTTCTCTCATCGAATCAGTTGAGCTACCCATGTAGGCCGAATGTCCATTCTAGACTCCTCTTGAGGATCATTTGAGCAGGATGTAATAGAGCATAGAGGAGGGTGGTGGTTGTAGACTTGTAGGGGAGTGGCCGGCGAGGAGGCTTCAACCTCGTGATCGGAGCAGATCTATCTATATATGGAAGACTGAACCCTGGACAGTCACGTGGCCTCTTTTGACTACATCTTTGACTACTTCTTCCCCCTCTAAACACACTGTTCATCTCGCATTTCCCAAGTTTTTACTCTGTAATTCATATCTATTCATTATTAGATAATTTATCTAAATAAAACTAAATCATAATGATTTTTTCAATAAAGGATTTTATGTTTTTATTTCTCAATTCATATCTATTCATTATTAAGTCTTATTTAGGGAATAAAAAATTTTAAGTCCTACAACAGGAAATGACTTATGTTTTAGTCCTATTCCGTGCAAATTTCACTTCATTACTTACATTTTTTAATACACATAGACGAAGATAGTACCATTTTATTTTTGAAGAATTTTTTTTGGATAAGAAGAAAAAGGTATGTAAACACAAATATAAAGTCTTAAGTCTTTTAAGACCAAAATAGGAGAGGATAAATATTAAACTAAAAATAAAAAATATACCAAAATAAAAGTTCCATGTATTTATTCTCAAATAGGGGTTAAACTATATATACAGTACCAATCATGTTAATAAAGAATACCAAAAAATATTGTGAAATAGCCATATACATCGCCACATTATCACATTGCAAACTTCTATTTCGGGGATAAAAACATTATGTTCCTATTTTGGTACTTTATCTATATTTTACTACTCCCTCCGTCCCAAAAAGATTTACACCTTTCAAAAAAATTACGTCCCACAATCTCCTACCCATTTCTATTAAAAACCCACTTTTACCCCTTACTTTTTCAAACCCTACATATCACACCATACCTTTTTTCTAATAATTTACACATCACATCCTACTTTTACCCATCACATCAAGGGTATTTTTGGAAAGTCAACACAAAATTATTCATCCCTTAATTTTAACTTTAGTCAAAACGTGTAAATCTTTTTGGGACGGAGGTAGTATTATTTAGAGTGTTTTCTTAAATATGAGTGGGATTGCAATGTGATGCAAGAGTGTTGGCAATATATGGAAGTGTTGACAATGTTGTATGATAATGGGATCAATCCCCGATGGACTACTGGTCAACGTTAGCCATCGACCGTGGAAATTCAAATTACAAAAAGATAATTTGATGCTGGAAATTATTATTGGGTGTCCAAATTTCTTCGATTAAGTCGTTTTGGAGGATATCATTTCTTCATTCATCGGGCAGACCTATTAGCATGTCAATGTGCAAAGTCTTGTAAAATTAATTTGGAGGTAGACCTAATTGAGTCGCTGGACCTCGGACGACGGTTATCCTAACGTAGAAGTGGGTACATCCCCATCATGTGCAAGACGAGTGATGTTGAATCTACCCCCGTTTTAACTTTTCGACTATCATGTTATGCACTATAATATAGAGTACATGCAAACATGATGTTCGAAATGAAATGAATGATCGTCATTAGCCCTAAAACATAATTAATGACTTTCTCTAAATAGCATCAGATGTATTTTTTTTCAATGTAGAACTTTTAGTCAGCATGCATTAGTCATTATTCAAGTAAATGTTCGTCATCATTGTATAACACCTCGATCGATCTCTATCTCCATGTATGTATGTATGATCTACCCGTGGCTGGCTGCAGGCTAGCTACCTTACTGCAATATAATATACCAGTAAATAATTAATTATACATACTAGACTATTAGTCCGTAAATAAATAAATAAATTAAATAGACGAGCTGTTTTCAATCCAGTTCAATTCAGATATCTCATGATGATGAAGTGCAGGCAGGCAGAGAATCTTAAAAAACAATTCAAAAAACCAGAGAGAGAAATGAAATGACGTTAATTAAGTTGTCATTTGGCGATCCACAACAACGTGGGGGGCTTCTGCCTCTTTCTGACTCTTATTATTATTATTATTATTATTATTTCAATTCTCCCCTTTTTCTCCAAAAGGTGAAATCGCTCACCCCGGGCGCTACTCACCCCGATCCTACGGGAATGTGAGAGAAGGTAAATCACGGTGACCCAAGCAACAACACTTAGCTAGACCATATCCTAGTGCGCACCAAAGACTCCCCCCATTTTTCAGAGGTGGTCGCCCCCACAACGGTCGCTGCCAGGTTTCGATCCTTGGTCATTCTCCAAACTTCACCAAGTGCTTACCACTTGGGCTACCCGTGCGGGTTCTTGCCTTTCTCTCTCTCTCTCGTGCCACTTGGGCTACCCGTGCGGGTTCTGCCAGGTTTCGATCCTTGGTCAATTCCCCCCTTTTTAATTATATATATCATCGCCACTTCCTCCCATTTCATATCTATTTCTTCCCCTCTTAAAAAAAGAAAGAAAGAAATTAAAGAAAGATGCAGAAATGCAGCAGCCGCCATTGTTCTTGCCTTTCTTCTTCTCCTCTCTCAATGTTCTTATCATCATCTCTGCCAAACGACGACTTGTTCCCGCCGGTGCAGGCTGTGGATTGTACTCTTTCTTTGGCCACGCCCTCTTCCACTCCGCCGCCACACGACACCCGCCGAAGCACCGCCTCTACTCATTTCTGCTGGGATATTTTTCCGCCCCCGCCGCCGCTGCCGGTCTCTTCCTTCCTCCGCGACACTACTATTGTCCCCCATCGCCAGTGTGTCAATTGCCACACCACTTCCACTCCCCTCTGGAGAAACGGTCCTTTTGGCCCTAAGGTACGTACCTAATCATAATAAGAACAAAAAAAAAGTGAACTTTATTTACTAAGAGTATTTAATGAACATTTTTTTAGTGAAATTTTTACTAAATAAGACTAAAACATGGGTCATTTCGTAATGTAAAACTTAAAATTTTTTATTTTCTAAATAGTATTTAATAATGTCTAGTGGAAAGAATAATATCCACTGATGGTGGACATTTAAAATGACAATTAGAGAATAATCAATGGTCTTAGTTAAAAAATAAATTCATTCTTTAAAATGTACTCCGATCCGTATAATTGCAGTCACTATGTAACGCGTGCGGGATACGCTACAAGAAGGAGGAGAGGAGGGCGTACGCGGCGGCGGCCAGAGCAAACGGCGGCAGCGACGGTTCAGGCGTAGCTTTGGGGAGCGAGACGGCGCAGCGCGTGGTGATGATCAAGAATACGTCATGGCCGCCTGCTCTACCACCGCTCTACACGCAAGCACAGAAAAAAGGCTGCTTCCCTACTTCGGCGGCGTACGGCGGCGGGCGGAACGAGTTGATGAGCTTCTTGGACGCGGGAGGCGGGGACCACCGCCGTCGCGATCCTGACGTCATCTCATGGCGTCACCTCAGCAACGTCGTGTTCTTCCCCGGGGCCAATAATAATAATAGGTCGTTCATCACGACTTCATCATTACCGTGTCATGATATGATTTAATTTAATTCTGCTCATTAATTAATTAAGTACTTAAGAAGTAAGTAATCTATCTATAAGATTTTTTGTAGGGGACGGAATCATCTACTCCCTAATTAATTGAACAATTCTAATTTTGGTGCTTGAGGTTAATTTATCAGGTAATTTAAGTTATTGTATTTGTAACATAAAAAAAAGTGAGCCTTTTACAACAAAAAAATCTACATGAAAACTACGAGAAGTTTCATATTTTAAAGATGGACTTTGTCATCACGTAAGCATCATTCTTATGAGTGATTAACTTGAATTTGGGTAAAGTGCATACAAGTCCTTGAATTTTTTAACGTGTTTATAAGCTCTTTATATGAAATATAATTTAGTTATATGAAAAAAGTGGGTTGCTCGCATATATTTATGATGAAAAATGAAAAAAAATACATATATTAAGGGTAAAGTTATCAATCAACTGTGCAACATTATTGTGACTTGAAGAAGTAATTAAGAACTTTTAAAAGTTAAAAGCTTAACCGTGTAAAATTTATTAACTTGAAAGGCTAAAAGTGTTACTTAGCCTATTTAAAAATGACTTTTATGAATGTTATTGATTCTATTAGAATTTCATATCCATTCATACTTTTTAAATTTAATCCAGTTTGACTAGGACTTGAACTTGGGTAAGTTTCAGAAAAAAATAAAAACCATTAACCACTACTAAATAAAGAGAGTTTAAAAATAAATATGAAAAAAACCGATATAATTAATGGTTAATCTATATGCATTTAATTACTTTTTTCGTCCCACAAAATATCAGTTTTTTTAAAACAAAATGATGTAAACCTCCCTATTATGAGAAATATTCACTTATAGTTTTAAGAAATCTTAAATGAAAAGTAGGAATACTTTTTGAATTCATAAAAAGTTAATGAAACAACCCACACAAGGGATCAATCATTTTACTTCCCTTATTCTTCTTCTGCTTTTTTTTTCACATTCTGTTCTAAAAATAAGCTACTCCGTAATAGAGAGTAGTTCATAATTAGGCGATTGTTTAAAATAAATTTGAAAATTTTCAGATTCTGATTTCAGAATCAAAGGCGAATGATTTTAATCAAAATATGTTTTTTGTCAAAAAAAACTAGAATTTGAGATTATAGGGGTGTCTTGCATAAAATTTTTATTCATATTTTAAAATTATAGCTTTCTATTCATATTTTCAAAGTACTCATGGCCTGTAAATAAAGTCATGCATTTTTAATTTTTTATTCATATTTTTAAACTTGTTGATTTTTTTTGCGAATGATTGTTGTTGATGGTTTTTAACACACTTAAAAGTTAAAACTGGTGTTCATCACACTTATAAATGTGGAAAAAATGACTTGCCACACATGCCCTAAGTATTGCTACGCAAATGTTGAAAATCTTTTGCCGCTTTTTTATATAAATGTGGCTAATGAAAACATTACCCATTCTTAATATGTGTGGTAAATATTTTATTTTGCAACACTTACATGTGTTCTTAAGACACCATACATATAAGTGCAGCGAATATTATTTTATAAAAAGTAAAATTTTTTACACTAAATAAGACTAAAACATAAGTTATTTTCTAATGTAGGACTTAAACTTTTATATTCCCTAAGTAATATTTAATAATGTCTAGTGAGGGTACAATATCTAATAATGATGAACATTTATTTGAATAATGACTAATAGATAATGATCAATGATCCTACATTAGGAAATAAAAACATATGATCCGATATTGAGAAAGTCAATATGTTTTAGTCCTATTTATGTGAATTCTACTTTTAAAAATAATTAAATAACTATGTGCACTAAAATAAGTGTGGTAAACCATGACCAAGTAAGTCACTTTTATAACAATTCCAACACACACACATCCTCTAGCTAAGCGTGTACATTTGTAAAAATAACTTACTAAGTTTGATTTTGAGTTGCAGGAACTTAGAAAATGCCAAAGTTGACCCCAAATGGTCCCAAAAATTTACATTGAGCAAGTAACATTCATTACATAATCAGTTGGCAAAGCACATTGAGTCGATGTGCACATAAATTAGAATGTGATGGCATGGCATGCTTCTCATCATCATCATCATAATCATCATAGATTTTAAGGCAAAATTTAACAGAATTTTTTTCTTAATTTTTATACTCCGTATATAAAGAATTAAATAAACTTTGAGAACAATAACTTCACTTTATTTCATACCACTCCCTCTAAGTAAGAGACGCTAAGTTTTCTCCTTGCAAAATATCGATTTTTTGAACTTCTTGCGGGTAAAGTTTCAGCACTGTATCCACTAATAACTCAATTTGAACACGAGATAGTTCACCCTACAAACAAACAAAATGACGACATTCAAATGGTTGCATACCTGAATGAGCATGACATGAATGTAGAAGAGAATGGGTTCCTGTGAAATCAACAGGGCTTTAACCAAGCCCATATATCAGATAGGATTGGGTTCTCTTCTAAAACTTCTAGATGGACTAAAAGAGATGCCCCTACCTACAAAGCCAATGATTTGTAATGAGGCTAAACTGGGTAAAAAAAACTGGTCTCTGATCCTACTGGAACTGAAAATTTTCAACTTACTCAGGTCACTAAAGATGTCTTAACAACGGGTACTTTTTAGGAGGAAGGGGATATGGAAATTATTGGTCCAACACCCTCTCAGCCAAAGGAAACTGTGGAATCTTACTCAAAAGCTATTTTAGCTATTGAGAATGAAAATGCATTGGAGCCTAGCTCAAAAGAACCTTCACTTACTGAAATTTCCCCTACTGCAAACATGAAGGCAGCAGACACTTTATTTGATCCCGAAAATTCTGTAAACGCATATTCTGTAAACGTAGGTTGTGCAAATACTCCACTTGATTTCTGCAAAAAAATGGCAGCAAATGCTGAATTGGAACACTCTAAAATCTCAGATACATCAACAGCAGAGAATGCTGACTTGAAGGCTAAAGACAACATAGATTCTGGCTCTCAATTGGAAGAATCTGACTTGTCTATTAACTCTAAAACCAAAGAGCCTCCCCCACAATCCACTGATGGAGCACACAATCTGTCCTCTACGACAGATTTGGATGTCCAAAAAACTGATGTTTCATTTGAGCCAAATGAACACACAATCAACTTGTCAGAATTCCCTGAACTACCAAAATTTGCGAGAAATAAAAATCAGCACTGATACCCTCTATGGTTCAAAAATATGCACTAATGCCCCCCTTCTTCGCCGGAAAAATGGCCGGAAATTGATCAGAGGGGGCATGGGTGCAGCTTTTTAAAACCACAAAGACTTTAGAAATGAGTTTTGAAAACATAAGGGGTATTGATGCATGTTTTGCAAACCAAGAGGGGTACCAACGCTATTTGGCCGTTTGCTTGATAAGCAGAAGAATTCAAAGACACTCCATTCAACCAATTTCACCCATTACTTCACAAAAACAAGTTCAGAAACTGAAATTCATACCAACAATAGTTCTTTTTTACACAAATTGAAAGAGCAACAGCTCAATGCTGAAATTTGGACGTAGAAAGCATGCGGATTGAATACACGGATTTAGGCACAAACACACACAGTTTTCCAGGTAACAATCACGCACGCACTAAGATCTAATTTTACAATATACAATATAGTTTTACCCTCTCATATAGTCATATATAAAAGTACTTCACCACAAAAACAACAATCTAATTTAAAGAGAAAAAAGGAAAATAAATACCTAAATGAATCGATCAGGCAGAACGATTGCGAAGAGGTAGATGAACTCGAACTGGGCAAATGATTGCGATGCGCCAGAGAGATTTGAAAACGAATTGAGAAGTTGGGGTGATAATTTAATTAATTAGGTTAATTAGAGGTTTTCCAGATTAATTAGGCGCCAGCAGAATGGATGAAAAAAAAAGTATATGCGCCGTATTTTTTTCAAGTTATTAAGAGCAAATTATGTTTTCAATTCGTAAGGATTGGATTATTTTTATATTTACACCAAATGATTGGATAATTTAATCTAATTTTTCTTATTAATTACACTTATTTGATAGGGTATATGAAATCACTTATAACCTCTTTTTAAAGTGCTAAGAAATTTTAAATTGCTAATTTTTCAACTGAAAACCTCTTTTCTTGTAGTTCAGAACACAGTATATAACTACATCGTCTCTATTTATAATTTTACACTCTAATTTACAATCTAAGCTACCTCATTAGCTAAAGCTAGATTAATGACGTTCACAAATAATACCCCTCTCTTTCCATATCAATTGTATGTTATAGTTTCAAAATATGTTAAATAATGAATGAATGGAGACATATTTTATATTTTTATTTATTTATTTTTGAATGTATCATAAAAGTGTTATTATCAGGAAATGCAGGTACCTTCATTATCTACAGGATTCTTTCATATACTTTTCATCCCAAATTGTATTCCCATTTTTCTATTTTTTCCTTCTAAGATAATTTTTTGTTCATTTTCTTTCTTTTTAAGAACTAAAACATGCTCATCTCTCACAACATCTTAATTACTTTAATTTTTTCATACAAAATGCAATCATTTTTTAAATTTGGCGAAGTAAAAATATGAAGTTGTACGTTTTAGATAAATGAGCACACAGACATCGTTTCTTTTGTTATACAGATGATCTAGACCTAGGGGTGGACACGGTACCGGTACGGTACCGTCACCGGCAACGGTACCGCCGGTACCCGCCACCGTCACCGGTTCCGGGAAACGGTACCGGTACCGCCCATTTCGGTACCGGTTCCGGTACCTATTTTTTGGTACCGGTACCGGCGGTACCGGTCCGGTTCCGGTACCGGTTATTTTTTTTTTTTGTTCATTTCAAATCCCAAGCCAAGCCCTGCAAAAAGCTAAAAAAAAATAGTGGGGGGCACACCTCAAACGGCTATTTAGCCGTTGAGGTGGGGAAGGGGAAGAGGGGGGAGGGGGGAAGGATCTATCTATAAATTCTCACATTTTTTACATAAAAAATCACTTAATTTCTCAATCCATCTCTCATTCTCTCAATTTATCAATCTCTCAATCTTATTATCTCTATTTAATTTTTATACATTTAATATTGATATAATAATATAAAAATTTTATACATTAAAATTTTGAAATTTTCAAAATTTTAATATATAAAATTTCGAAATTTTTTCAAATTTTTCAAAATTTT